GAATTAACGCAACTGAAGCTATCCTTATCGGATTGAGGTGTAATTTACACCATTTCGAAGCTAAGGAAAAGGGATAGAATGTTGAAGAAGGCCACTCAGTCAAGTTCTTATCAAATTCACCAAAACAACCCCAGATATTTCAGTTCGCAGCTTACTGTGAAATTCAACGAGCAGTCCTGATTCATTCAATCATATCTCACCACACACAACTCCAAATCAGGTAATTCTAAAGCCATTTGAAAGCTAAGATACAAGGCTATAATTATTAAGAAGACACCAACAACCAATTCGGTAATATTCCTAGTCAAGCTAACCAATTACCAAAGCTGATTATCAGTTTCGGACAGAAACAGGGCAGCAGGGGTATTTCAGTCTTTTCACAGGCTACGTTGCTCCGATTGGGCTGAAATTTTGTAGGTAACTATAAAACATCATTCTATACAATGTTCATGTTTTAACCTCAAGCTAATTCGGCCTCTAACCTGCTCAAATAAATTCAGACAGAACAAGCCTGTTTGAAACCCTAACCTGGAAGTTTTGCTTCAAACCAGAAATTTTCCACTAATCATCACAATTATCATACCAAAGCTTCATTCCAACCCATACTAGACCATCATACATGGCCAAAAAACATTAAACATATAAAAACAGAAAAATTAAGCATAAAATAAAAAATTCATCAAACACCACCAAAAGTCATGAGAACCTCCACAAAATCACCTAACTAACCTTCACAAGTCATGAATTCATCATTATCAAAGCCAAAGATGGAATTTCTTGACTACTCACCTTGAAATCTCAAGAAAGGAAGCAACTTTACACCACTATCTTTCAAACCACTTCACCTATTACTTCACTACCACCTAACTAAGGGTTTTTATGGAGTGATTTGAGGTTTTATCGATTAAGTTGTGAGATTGAGCAAGATTGAGTAGAAGAAATTTGATAGCTTTTCTTTCTTTTGCTCTCCAAGAAGCTTGGCCAAGAGAGGAAACAAATAAGAGGATTTTTGGCCAATTTTTGGTATTTATTTGGTAAAGGTGGTAAGATGGTCTTATGGTCAACTTCTAAGTCCAATAGCAAAGTGACATTTGTCCCTCTCTTTAATGCTAGGTTATCCTTTTGTCTCTCCACTCTCATCCATATAACAACCTCTAATTATCTCTTAGCACCTATTAAATTAATTCCAGTATCCCAAACTTAACCTAATTGGCCGAATTTTATCGAACTTTCCGCACTAGCGGGTCCCACGCCTGGTATACACTCTTAATTTCTCAAAACCTAACCGATACTAGAAAAATAATCTAAAACCTATATTTACTCATAAAACGAGTTAGAAAATTTCCTAATAAAGAAATTACAGAAAAACGTGCGATTAAATAAAATAAAACCCTAGAAAATACAAAAATTTACGGGTTCTCACATATATCATCTATGGACACCGTCACAATCTAATCCAAATAGAGCTTAAAACTCAGTGCATCAAGTTTATGAAAACTGCCGGTGCATTAGTCATCCCAAAAGACATGACTACACACTCAAAATAGCCACGTCTTGAAGTAAAAGCGATCTTATGTGAGACCCCGGATAGTCCTTAATTTCGAAATTATGTGATATTAATAGCATTTAGTTCTATTTTGTACTAAATTATTAGAAAACCCTAAATTGGATTGTTTACAAAATCCTAGTTTTTGTATTAATCACAAATTTGAGTTGTAATTCATGTTTGGTAGACTAGAGTGTGTTTTGGTACAAGTAAGTATAGGATTCGATTTATTTTATATCGGTTAAGTAAGTTTAAAAGTTAGAAAAACCTCAGACTAGTAAACCCTCTAGTGTTCCAATAGATTAGAAAGTTTAAGTTGGGTTTAAAACCCTAATTTTGCCAATGTTATAAAGGTTGTTGTTTCATTGTTTTTATTATGGAGAAAGTATGATTAAGTATGGGAGGTTAAGATAGGAAGGTGATTAGTGAAATGATTAAGTGTGACTAAGTAGTTTAGACTAGATTAAGTGTATGACCTATGGAGTTAATTGAAAGCTTTTCACATAATTGTGGACAACAGTGTAAGAAAGTTAAACTAAGGTTGTAAGGGCTTGGGAGCAAATTGTAATCTTTTATGTGATTGGTTGGGTGCAAAATATCCTTAGTGGTTGATGACTCACCTTAACTCTAGAATATACAAGAGGAATCAAGACATAAATGAAACCATCACCAAGGGAAAAAGCAAGAGAAAGGGCCGAAATTTTGAGAGCAAAAGAAAGGGAAATTTCCTCCAAAGTTCATCTACAAAGCTTATTTGAAGGTATATCATCTTACTTGGAAGTTAAATTTTGAGGTTTTAATCTTGAAGCTATGGAAGTGATGCTTTTGTTGTGATTATGCATTTTTATGGGTTGTATGACGATTATGAAGTAGTTTTATGGTTCATTTTGATGGTTATATTGCTGATTTTGGTAAAGCCTAGGAGGAAAAGGTAGGGTTTCTTGATTCATGATTCATAGAGTTGGTTTGGTTGGATTTTGGCTTGTTAATGGCATCTTTGATGTATTAATTTCACTTGTATGGTTGGTAAGTAGCAAATTCCAGATTAGTCATGAAACCCTAATTCAAAGGAAAGTTAGTTTGGTTGGGTTAGGGCTTAAGTGATTAGAGTTTGATTGATTAGGTGGTGAAACTAGTAAAATTAGTAGGATTAGCACCTAGATTATGGTTAGTACTGGGTAAGTCTTGGGATTAAATTGGGAAAGGAATTTTGGTTCACTTGAAGAAAAAATAGGAGGTGATTTATGTTTGTTTATTTGGAATGAATTTGCTTGGAAAACTTGAATGAGAATGGTAGAAACGAATCATGCATTTGCGGCGCGCGGAACCGTTCAATCTGGAAACAGGGCAGCCCAGAAACCGAACTTTGGCCCCATTTTTCTATGTGCTACGTATGGATTCAGGGTTTGCCCAAAAAATGAAAGTTTCAACTGCTAAAGTCCTTGTCGTGTCTACAAAATTACAGCCCAATCCGATCAGTGTAGCCTGAGTTGTGACCAAAAACCCCAAATGGCTGTACAAACTTCTGGATTTGGTGACGTTTCTTGATTTTGCTTCTGACCATGCTCAGTTCACTTTGATAACGTCTGAACTGGGTGTTGAGGTCTTCATAAGACTTGTATATATTTATTTCATTTTCAAAACGGTATAAAGTACGTCCAAATCCGAGACCCGCAGCTCCAGTTATACCCAAAATAAGATCGGGTGTCAGAACTGCCATTGAAATTGGGCAGTTCTGACAGGAACTTTGGACCCGTTTTTCACCCTGCTCTGTATTGATTCAGGTTTTGTCCAAAACATAAAATTTTTAGCATTATGACATAGATTTCTAACACCTTTGGAATTTCTTGATTTGGACTTCCGAGCTGTGAGTTATGGTCCGGCAAACAGACCCTGTCCGTCACCCTAAAGTGCAAACGTCTGGTACAGTTTTTCATAATTTCGACCTGTTTCCATTCAGATCTAGATTGAGGTGTCTTCATGAAAATTTGAACCCTTCCTCTTAGCTTCGTAACGGTGTCTCATACACTTTGATCTGATATTCCTAGCTTAATTTTTAATCCAAACGGTTCGGGGTAGCAAATCTGCCCGTTTCCGTTTCCGTTTCCGTTTCCCGTTTACCAATTCCGCACGTGCTCATGTGCCAATTTTGCCGTTTTGCTTGCTTTAGGCATGTTAGTAGCCGTTTGTGATATAATGTGATGCAATCTTTTATTTCAGACGGTGGTGAGCTAGACGGAGCCGGTGGGGCCTACTAGCTATCACACACGAAGAGATTTTCGCACTTGTGCTAGTTTTGTGCTTTGTGTAAGTATTCAGGCCTTTTTTGTGCATAACATACTTATGTGCTTTGGTGTGGATGAGAGGGTACTTAGGCGAGCGTGTACTTGATCACACTCGACCTAAACCCTAATTTGTACTTGTGCTTCTTTATGAGCTGTGTATATATGAATTATTTTGGTGCTGAACCCCTTGAGCTTGTAGCTCGGGGTGAATTTTGTGAAATTTGTGAAATATGATGAAGTTGTGGGCCCGATCTCAAGACCTAGACGGACTATTCGAGCCGGCCGGGGCTTGATCGAATTCAGTCCAACCTAGTCTGAGGTCACCAAGTTTGTGAATCCGGTTCACCGAGTATGTGAACCAAGTTTGTGAACCGAGTTTGTGAACCAAGCTCAATTTCGTTTGCTCGAGCCATTTTGTGAGGTGACTGGCCAGTGTGGGTGATAAAGTGTACGGTGGGAGTAAGTGGAGTTCTACGGACCCTTATTTGTGGTCGACGAAGTGTCGACAGGAGGTCACACATGGCATATGACGTGGCTTTGGAGCCAACCTGTATCCTTAACTTGTGTTGTTACTTTTATAGTTTCGATTTGACATCTTTGTGACGTAAGTGTTCGTATTACTGTGAAATTTATGATTTTACCCCTGTTTACTTACTAAGCATCTAGCTTACCTCTTTCCCTTTGTTTTCCTTAACAGGGGCCGACGCGGGGAAACTTTTGGCACTATCACTAGAATAGTTAGGCTTGATTTGTAATAGCCAGACAACTAAGATGTTTCTTCTTGTTTTGGTAATCTGTTTAAGGAACCCTCTTTGGGTCTACTTTATATTTTGGTTATTAGCATAAGATAATGTAGTAGTCTGGATAACTTCTTTTGAGGATGTAAATACTCCCAAATGATTGAATATATTATGAATAGTACTCTTTTGGTTTATATAGTTTTGTTAGCTTTGTGTTTTGAGTCCTGGCGCGAGTTAGGCAAGCGTCCCGCCGATACCCTCGGGTTCGCCCTTGGGAGAAGTGGGGGCGTCACAGGTGGTATCAGAGCGCCTAGGTTAGAGGACTTGGGCAAGTGGGATATACATGATAGGCATTACATATTTCTATTTAAGTTGAATGGTATAATTTAAGCTGAAATGCCAGTGAACTGACGACTTAATATTTTGTAGGTATGGATCCGGGTAATCCTAGTGGTGCGGGACCCAGCGGCGTGGGATCGGGACCAGGATCGAGAACTCCGAGTGCTGGGGGTCCAGTGAACTAGGTGTTACGCCGGCGCGTACTTAGATACCAGAGGAGGCCTGGGGGCCCATAAACTCTATACTCACCTTTTGGCCGAATGAATCGGCCATGTGAGTGCCGACATACATATGGTTACCCTGATGAGGTCGTCCTGGCAGTGGAAGACGAGCGACGTCGCCTGGGGAAGGCGAACGATCGCTTACTTCGACAGCTCGAGGAGGCCAGGGGGTGGCCCACGGCAGGCTTTGCGCATCCGGGAGCTGGAGCAGGGCCTTAGGGATGAGGAGGAGCGGACGGATGCTTTTCGTCGACAGCTCTATGACACACACCAGCACCTCTTCGCCATGAAGGGGCAGCAGAGGGAGCGGGCCCGGGGAATTATGTTGGACTGTGAGGTCCTATTTGTGACAGCCCCACCTCCCCCTAAGGCGAACCAAAGGGTTCGGCGGGCCGCCTGCCCAGCTCTAGCCGGGACTCACTCACTTACTACAATCCTCAAATAGATTACAATATAAATTCCAAATATTACATCAAATTCTTCAATAATTACATGTCATAAGCGAAGCGGAAACAATTCCCAACTATACATAAAATGATTCCAAATCCAAACTGTACAAGATATATGCCATCCAGTCACGTGAATAAGTACTACAAGCCTTCCTTCGCCACGAGCCCTGTGGAGGGGAATAAAAATATTTTTGGGGTGAGCTAGAAGCTCAGTGAGTAACCAATAAAATCAGTAATCAAATATATTTCACAATAATGCATTTCGATGATGTCATGATTCCAAGATCAAATGTACGTATTTTTGCTCTCGTGAGCCAGTGAAATCATTGCACTTAAACACCCAACGCTCAAATAGATCACTTAACGTTAAACAATAAGGGGGAGCAACGTTGGTGCTCCAGATCATGTCATGAACAATAAACAGGGTGGAGACATTGGTGTTCAGCACAAGACTCCCCAAGAACTCATTGAAGCCAAATCATGTCATGAACCCACATGTAAGCACGCATGATATGCAATCGAGTAAATAATGCAAGAAACATTTCACAAGTACTTTGGAAATAGTTTAGGGTCACTCACCTCCACGGCTCAGAAACCATCCATCATATATCATTACCTTGCCCGAGTCCAAGCCCTAAATCACAAACTCAAAGCAATCATACATTCTCAAAGTTCGGACAGCATTTCCCCATAAATGCTTCATTTCCAACCTACAATATATCACCAATCACACATACGGTTAATAAGCAATAAAATGCATCCAATTAGGCCACAATATCCCTCAATCAAAGCTAATTAGAAGCTTAAGAGCCACCATTAGAAAAACCCCCAATTAAACCCCCAATCAAACCGGAATTCATTCTCTCAAGCGTAAATTTTCCGCAACGATCGCAGTTAACGTATAAAAGTTCCGTTTAACACCTTTCGGCACAATATCCATAACTGAAGCTACCCTTATTGGATTGAAATGAATTTTATGGATTTTCGAAGCCAAGACATATACCTACATTCCTTATGAAGACCTCCAAGGCCAAATCATGCATTTTCATGATCAAAACTGGAAATTTCCACGAAAATAGAAATCTGGGCGCGGAACAGGGTTCATGGATAGTCAAGGGTATTTCGGTCATTTCACATGCTACAGTACTCGGATCGATCTGAAATTTTGTAGGAAACTATTTAACACCATTTTATACAACTTTCATGTTTTAACCTAAGCCTGATTCGGCCTCTAGCATGCTCGAATAAATTCGGACAGAACAGGCTTATGTGAAACCCTAACCTGGAAATTTCGCCCCAAACCAGAATTTTTGCACAATCAATCACATCCAACATATATCAACTTCATTTTACACTATAACTAACCAACAATCCATGACTAACCAACACCAAACATATGAAATCAGAAAAATCAAGCATAAAATAAAAATTCATCAATCTCCACCAAAATCATAAAATCTTCCACTAAAACATCTCTTTAGCCCTCACAAGTCATCAATTTAACACTAACATGAACAAAGGAAGAATCTCTTGGTCACTTACCTTGTAAACTCAAGAAAAGAAGTAACTTAGCACCTTTCCTTCTCAAACCACTTCACCACCCACCTTAATCCTACCAAGAGAAAGGTTATTATGGAGCAAATCAAAGTTTTAACGGTTGGTTTGTGAGATCAAGGCAAGAAATGGAAGAAACAAGTTGAGAGCTTTCTTTTCTTTTCTTGTTGAGAGGGCTGGCCAAAGGAGCTAAAAATGAAGAAATAAATTGGCCAAAATTAGCTTTAAGAAAGTAAAAATATCTTGGTCAAAAGTCCAAGGATGAATTGAATTGTGACACTTGTCACCTTTTAGCTTAAAGCTTATCCTTTTGTCTCTCCATAATTAAACCATCTAAGTCACCTCTAATTATATCTTAACATCTGATAAATTAAACCCAGTATACAAAACTTAATCTAGTTGGCCGAATTTATCGAACTTACCGCACTAGTGGGTCCCACATCCGGTATACACTTCAAACTTAATGTGAACTAACTTGTATCAAGGAAATGATTTGAAAATTATATTCCCTTATAAAAATGTATAAGAAATTAATATATTGAAGAAAGGCATAAAATCATAGACAAGGAAACAAAATAATGTCTCGAAAATATATAAAAATTTTCGGGTTCTCACACTTATCCTTTCAGGGCGTCACACTATTGGATGTGGCCGCTGAGGCACCGCCACGAGCTATCGGTCCAGAGCCGATGGATGAGGTTGACACCTTGGGCTCCGTTGGGGATTGGGCCCCTAGGGGAGGCGTTTAGGGTCGCCTTTGTACTTTCTTTTGACGATCTAGCGGATTACTTTTGTTAGAACTGGCATGGCTCGTTTCTTTTGTTATTTGGTTGACTGACTAGATTTTTGGAGTCGGAGTGCTCATGTGTATACTGGGTTTTGTACCGACTGGAGGTCGGGTGATTTGTATCTCTTTTGGTATGACTTTGTAAATATATATGTGACTTTTGTGTACACTTTCTGTATATAACCTTTTGTGTACATATATGTATAGAGTTGAAAACAATCTTTCTGGGTTCATCTTTTGTGTGACTCTTGTATATGTGTATTTTCATTTGGTATTTTCTACCTTGTTCACATCTTGAATAATAAGTATACATTTTATTGGGATTTATAGACTTTGAATCTAAATGGACTCCGGTGGTCGGGGTAAAGGTAGAGGGCGAGAACGAAGCCCTAAAAGGGAAAATGAACATGAGCCAGATCAAGTAGCTACCGCCATCCAGCGGATGACTGACCTATTAGAATGTATGGTTGACCAACAGGGTCAGGGCCATGGGAATACTACAGGAAACCCTGGAAATAATCCAGGCAATCATGAGGGAGTGGACCGTGCCTTAGAACGGTTCCAAAAATTTGCACCTCCAAAATTTATAGGTGGACCTAATCCTGACCTAGCAGAGGGTTGGATGGACCGTATGATGGATATATTTGCCGCACTTGGGTATTCGGAGGAATGACAGATATCTTTCGCTGTTTTTCAGTTTGAGGGGGCTGCTCGAGATTGGTGGAATGTGATTAAAGCCAAGTGGGAGCGAAAACAGACCCCCTGGACATGGGTTAATTTTACACAGGAATTTAATGAAAAATATCTGCCGCCAAATGTGCAAGAGAAACGGGAAGATGATTTTATCCGCCTGCGTCAAGGGGCATCTAGTGTGGCGGAGTATGAAACCCAGTTAAACACATTTAGCCAAGCACTAGAAAAGGCTCAGAGAATTGAGACTGCTAAGGGACAAGTAAAAGCCTTCCATGACCAAAAAAGAAAGCAACCTAGCTCAAGCAACGTTGCGACCGGACAAAACTCGAGAAGCGAGCCACCCTCTAAGATAGGCCGAGGAACGGGTGATCCACAAGATAATGTGGAAAAAGGTCAGGTAGGGCAAAGGTTCCAGAGGAGTGCCCAGCATAGAGGGTCAACAATAGGAACTAAGTCGACCTGTGGTTTCTGTGGGGGCAATCACACTGATGAGAATTGCTGGAAAAATAGTTCGGTACGAAAATGCTTTAAATGTGGTAGTACGGAACATCTGATTGCTCAATGCCCTAAGATGCAGAAAGAAGGACATAAGCCATCGACAGAAGGGACCACAGCTAAACTGACCAATGTAGCGGGGAATCGACCCAAAGCATCGGCCAGAGTATATTCAATGGGTCATCAAGAAGTGACTGACCCTGCGGCAGTCATCGACGGTACGCTTTCTAGAAAAACTTATCGTATGATTTAGAAATACCAACCCCTATTACCAATAAGAGTGTAATTGCTAGTGTGGTGTACGAGGGAGGTGAGGTATGATAGGAGAACGGAAATTGTAGGTGGACTTTATTGAGTTAGCTCTCAAGGGTGCACGGGGCATTTAGTGATGTAATGAATGCTCCAGTGGATCAGTTGAAGGTAGAAAACGTACCAGTGGTATGTGAAGTTTAGATGGAGACGTATTCCTCTCTGTTCGCAAACAAAGGTATTAATTTCGAGGACGAAATTGTTCTAAGAGGGGGAGGTTGTGAGACCTCGGATAGTCCTTAAATTCGAAATTATGTGATATTAATAGCATTTTTTTCTATTTTGTACTAAATTATTAGAAAACCCTAAATTGGATTATTTACAAAATCCTAGTTTTTGTATTAATCACAAATTTGAGTTGTAATTCATGTTTGGTAGACTAGAGTGTGTTTTGGTACAAGTAAGTATAGGATTCGATTTATTTTATATCGGTTAAGTAAGTTTAAAAGTTAGGAAAACCTCAGACTAGTAAACCCTCTAGTGTTCCAATAGATTAAAAAGCTTAAGTTGGGTTTAAAACCCTAATTTTGCCAATGTTATAAAGGTTGTTGTTTCATTGTTTTTATTATGGAGAAAGTATGATTAAGTATGGGAGGTTAAGTATGATTGGTTGGATTTTGGCTTGTTAATGGCATCTTTGATGTATTAATTTCACTTGTATGGTTGGTAAGTAGCAA